GAGTACTTCTACAAGGTCTGAGTACTTCTACTTTTACTCAAGTACAAGATTTAAGTACTTCTACTTTTACTCAAGTACAAGATCTGAGTACTTCTACAAGCTCTGAGTACTTTTACTTTTACTCAAGTACAAGATCCGAGTACTTCTACTTTTACTCAAGTACAAGATCTGAGTACTTCTACTTTTACTCAAGTACAAGATCTGAGTACTTCTACTTTTACTNTAATCAAGTGTTAAATCAGACTTTAGTTCCACCTGGAGTAAATCCACAAGCTACCCTGCAGTATACAAAGTCATTCAAACTAGCTGCACCTTTACCAGCTTTGAGAACACTTTCATGATCAATCATTATAAAACATATCATATCTATTATTCTGAAATGGACCAATCTGCACAATGACTACTTTTACTGTCGCTACTTTCACTATATTTTGATGAGAATACTTTTCTAATTTTACTTGAGGAACATTTTGAATGCAGGACTTTTACTGTAACAGAGTATTCCTTCACTCTGGTACTTCTACTTTTACTCAAGTACAAGATCTGAGTACTTCTACTTTTACTCAAGTACAAGATCTGAGTACTTCTACTTTTATTCAAGTACAAGATCTGAGTATTTCTACTTTTACTCCACAAGATCTGAGTACTTCTACTTTTACTCAAGTACAAGATCTGAGTACTTCTACAAGCTCTGAGTACTTCTACTTTTACTCGAGTACAAGCTCCGAGTACCTCTACTTTTACTTGAGTAACATTTTGAATGCAGGACTTTTACTGTAACAGAGTATTACTACACTCTGGCACTTCTACTGTCGCTACTTGAACTATATTTTGATAATACTTTTGTACAAAACTGATAGTGATTTTAGTAATTAGTTTCCATTCCCTTTTGTATAATCTAAATCTAATGAATGTGCAGCTTCAGTTATAAAACAATAAAAACTTGTTGACACAGAAATTGAAGTTTTATACACAAACATTTTAATCGGTTAAATAAAGCAACAATCTAATAAAGACAGAGTTGTGAAAGGAGGAGAGGGGGCTGTGTGTAAAGAGAGCAGGCGGTTCAGAAGCCTTTCATTACACAAACAAAACAAATGGAAATATTTAAAACATCGTGATGACTTCCCCAAATCAAGGCTCGTCCGACCTCGGACATTCCTCACAAGGAACACTCAAAAAAACAGATCAATGAAACATACAGACTCTACATTGTTCCTTTTATTTCTCTAGGTTCATGCTAGCTTTTCAAATCAGACGACGGAGAGTTGCACGAAGCAGCGGCTGAATGTTGGGAAATATGAGAGTTGCTAAATTAAAACCGACTCAGTTCTGAACCGAGAGTAGAGACGATATTGGACATTAACAGTGTGGGAGAGAAGGGGGGGGGGCAGGTCATGTGATTTGTATTTATTTACAAGGCGTAGTCCAGCTCGTAGCGGACGTACGCGTTCTTCTCGTCGTTGTAGACCTGGGGGTAGTGAGCGATCAGGGCGTCCTGCGAGCCGATGTAAATGGAGTTGTAGATCTTCCAGTAGACGTCTCGCACCTTCCTGGCCGGGTGGAACAAACCCTGAAAACAAAACGACGATTATTCATTTCTGTAACAATTATAACTTTGAATCGAAGTGTTTGCTGTCAAATCCTACTCCCTGGGACCGAATGATGAAATATTATTATGTGTGGCTTTCTTAGGAAACTGAAGAGATAACATGGCCACTTCCTTGCTCGCTACTTTCAATGGAACAGAGTTTAATACATTTGGTTTACTCTCGCTGGCTTCTGCAACCGTAACCACTTCTTAACAGAGTTATTGTTTGAGTGCAACAATATCTGTTCTTATGCAAGCTACGTTTATGGCTGCAACTACAATTATTTCTGTTAACAATAAATCCCTTTTTTCGTTGTTTATTCTATCAATGCTACAAATAAATTACAAGAGACCAGATCTCTCTAAAAGTGACTCAATATAAGGTTATTTTGTCCAATCAGGTTAGCTTATGTTTGATTTAATAGTATACAAATATAGAAATGTTGACAACCCATTACAAGAAAAGGTAGTGGATGATTGATTAGTAGTTATATCTACTAAAAAGAGATGTATTGGACAAATCCATAGACTTTTTCATTTGTTAATTTAATGTGTCATTCCGCTTTGAGGCTAAAATAGTGGTTAAAAAAAAAATGTCAGCAGGACAGTATTATTAAAATTATTATTACAAACACAGTTGATAACAATCTAGCAGTGTTGAACATTTCTCCCTCCTCACCTGTAAGCAGTACTGCAGCATGCGGCAGGGCCCGATGGCGACCCGGAGACCCTCGAGGGCCCCCATCACCGCCTGGATGACGTGAGGGGACGTCTCGAACACGTTGGGCCACACGTAGTTCAGGAGGTGGTTCAGAGAATCCTCACACCCGAACCCATAGACCCCCAGAGACATGTGCTGCACCACTGCACTGGCCGTCTGTCGGTGGACCAGATCTCTGCGGGAGGAGGACCAGGAGGACAGGTGTTAGTGTCTTTAGAAACCAGGAGCTCCATGTTTAGTTAAAGGGGAGAGACACGACGGGTACATCTGAATACAGTAATACAGATATCTATTTGTTGACATATTAGTCAAAGGTTTTGTTGAAGAGGGGATTTTGAAAATCTCTTTATCCATAACATATATCATAAACAGACATTCATTCAGGTCGTGAATGATATGTATGCTCGGGCTGTCCCGAATACCATTTTTCGGGTTCCGGATATTCAGTAGTAAGCAAAATTCATTTTGTTATTCTACAGTATTGTTTTATAGTTATTTGTTAATGTATGTAACCCAATTTGTGTTCTTTGAAATTGAAAAGGATATCGTATTGTGTTTGTTACTTTCGTTGTAGGCCTATATGTCCTAAGTGTAATTTGGCTTTCTATTTATGGACATGCTTTTATTTTGAAGGAGAGGTAGCGCTGTTGACAGGAAGTTGTTGTTGCTATGGAAACAACGTGATGGAGATTAACAGAGAAAAGTAATATCTACATATAAAGACGGAGAAAGTAAATGATAACGTTTATGGTTAAGTGTTAGCACCCCCCCGAAGAGGCACAAGCTCTTTATATGTTGATATTGGAGATTTCAATAAATTCAAATTTGGGAGAAAAAAAAAAACGGGGAAAAAGCCAACAAAACGAATAACGAAATTGAAACCCGAATAGTACTCCAACGATCCAATATTCAGATATTCGGGTACAGCCCTAATGTATGCAAAGCCCTCTGAAAAAAGCTGGACAGTTTGGTGTATGCATTTCCAACTCAACTAAGTTTGAGAAAACAGCTTTTAAAGATATTCATTATTAAACTCATACATTGTGCAGACACTACAGGTAACAGTTAAAACATCTTAACCAATAGATCAACTATTTTTCTTGTATTACAAGCGTCCTGAAATGTATTGTTTCAACGTGTTAATTCTGGATGTCTTTCTTTCCACTGGTCTGAAATAAGACACGTTATGAAAAGTAAATACACCAAGCTCTTAAAATTGAGTTCATGGAAAAATGTGTTCCGGTATGACATGGTGTGAATCTCACCTGTCCATGAGAGCGTCTTCCAGCAGCGGGGTGACGGCGTAGATGTAATCTTTGCCCATCTCTCCGATGTACTCGAACAGGAAGGAGAGGGACTTCAGGACGCCGTTCTGCACGTTCAGCTCCGGCACGCGGTACTCGTTCATGAGCGCCGGCAGCACGGTGAACGGAGAGCAGGTCTCAGCCACGATGGCGATGGCTACCGTCGTACAAACTCTGTTCTGACGCTCCTGCACCTTCAGGTTGTTCAGCAGAGTGGCCAACACATCGTGAGGGCTGCAGGGGAGAGGAGGGGGAAGTGTTAGGAGAGATATGTCTGAGAACAGTTTGGTTGAAATAATCAACACGGAGCATCATAGGGTTTCTGCAGCAAGTTGAATGAAAGATTTATTGGCACGTAAAATGCAAAATAAATGTGATCAAATAAAGTATGATAATGTAAGGGGATTTTAGCAGGGGAGATATGGCCGACAATTAATAAGAATAAATCAGTTTTTAGTGACAAGTCAAACCAAAACAAGGATGGATAAACTCTGGTTTCTCGTTACATTATATAAATGACTAAGTATAAAGTACATTTCCCTCACTTTAGTTTAATAAATAAAAACATTTGATAGCTAGCATTACTGTCTTGAGCTGGAAAGGGGAAACACTCATTTCGTAAAATAGGTTTTCAATACATTCAAGACCCCTGATCATGAAAATCAACACGGAGCATCTGCAGGCGTCAGAAAGATCAATTTAAGTTTTTATTGGCGCTTAAAATGCATTTTATAAACGGTTTAATGATCAAACTAAGTATTGACATGTGAGGGAATACTAATACTTTACTATATGCATGCAAACCAAGCATAGTGCACATTTGAGTGTTAATTAATTAATTCAACTCAAGGACATTTGAAAGCTGGAAGGAGACATTCAAGATTTTTGTAAATTAGTTCAGCTTACGTTTTGTTTATACATTTAGACTTTCTGTCTTCTATGAAAGTCATAAAAAAGGCTCCAGATTCAATAAACCTATATAAATAAACTAATAAATACAAAATAAAAAGTGATGAAAGTCTTGTTGAGACTCACCCGATAGCTTTGGCGATGTAACCGAACGTGTTCACAGTCGCTCTGCGGATCGCTTTCTTGTGAGCCTTCAGCAGCTCCAGCAGCTCGAAGCAAATCCTCATCCACTCTCTGGCCGACACGTACTCAGCACCCCTACAATAAACACCACAAGTTAGTAACATCTTAAAGGTCCCCTATCATACTGTTCTTCATCAATATATCACAGGTCTCAGATATATACAGAGCCTGTCTCTGATTGGCTGAAACACCAAACAGATCATTGCAGCATTACCCATAATCCCCTCTGTTTCAGCCATGATTCCAAAGTGCTGATTCTCTGTGTTACTTTAGAGCAGGGGTCGGCAACCCCTGGCACGCGTGCCAGCATTGGCACCCGGCACCGTAACCAGTGGCACACTAGGAATAAGTGTGCAAAAATATTTAAAATGTATTTTCGGATCCTGAACGAGA